TGATTTTTTCGCCCAGCACAGTGATGCAGTTTTGCACCCTTGCAGGTATTAACATGCCATGAGGCTGTAACCCACTTAAACTGTTTCTTAAATGAATAGAAGCATGAGGATTCTGCAATTACATCCTTGTCAATAACAGTATAGAAGTGAGAAGCAATTGCTAGTGGCATCAAAAGTTATCACTTTACTAGTAAAGCTAGAATATGGAGAGAGCGGGGTTAATTTTTATGTGCTTTTGATATTACCCGGTATGTGTTATACTTAACTTAATGATAAATGGCTTTATTCAAGTAGCGAAATAGCAGCGTAGAAACCTGTCCCCACAGATACACCTCAGTAAGGTCATAATTTGTAATCCTGGCAGACGTAGAATATAGATCAATAGAAATCAAATCAGGTATGTTCATAATTTTCCTGTTTGTGTAATATGGCCTTTTGGAATGGATCAAGCAGTATCTAGATCAATCGTTTACATGATGATCGCGTACACGTGCAGTGAACCCATTGTGAACATACTTGACAACAGAATAACGTTCCGACACCAGACGGAACGCCTGTCAGGCATGCTTGAATTAGCTATTGAAGATATACAAGAGAAGACCTCATTTCCTTACTCAGTTTACCACCTGAGCAGAGGAAGACGCTCGAGGGAAGATAGTTAAAAAATCTGGCTGAACAGATGTTTGACAGGTGATATCACGAGACGGAGAAAACATCATTTTTTCACCACTGTAATGGCGGAACTATGGGAAAAGAATCCTCATAAACTTATTCGAGTCTGTACGCTGTATCATCATGCATCTGCATGGGAAAAATGTTTGTAGCGTCATATATAACTGCTGTTTCAATTCGTAGGGTCATTTAAGCCTACTGACAGCAGCATAGAATACGGTTTATTAATACATAACGCTAAGAACAGGGTCGATCGGATGACTGATCAGCACAGACGCTTCGGTCCATGCCCCAAGTGCGTTTTTCAAGGTAAGGAGGTTGACTGAGTTTTGGAAGTTTTTCATGTCATCCTCAGCGGTTCGTAGGTTCGTAGGTTGAGTCAGAACGCCTTTTGAGTCGCTGAGAACGACGGAAAGAACTTCCGAAACGAATAACTCTCTTTACCTCGACGAAGGTCCATGAGGTACGAGCCGAAATGTCGGTACTGGTCAAACATTCGATTGACCAAATTGCTTCGCGTCGTGTATGAACCGTGTCTTATGCCGTTTCCAGCACGATCACCAACGGCGAACGAAATTCTCAAACTTTGAAGACTACCGCTGAAATATTATCACTCAGAAACAAATATGCCAGGTGAGGCGTAAATCTGAGGGGCACTGAGGTAATAGAATAATGATACTGACACTTTCTTGACAGCGTCGATGCAATCTTGACGACTGGACATGTCGAAGATGGATTGAGAAATCGGCAGAATCTTCAGCAGACTACTCCTTTCCGCCTCCCGATGGCACGTACATTCCTGATATATCCTCTGCAGGAAATTCTTGAGACATTTTGAAGACCCAATTTCAAGGCTTAAAACATCCTTCAAAGTAGACATTGCGACTGTCAATGGTAAAATCGCTACTGTTGATAGATGCAGTTGCGCATGACCTCGCTGCAGTGGCTTCTGTACAGGGTCGATTGTTTGCTCCAAAGGCAGGATTGCGTTTCCATGGCCACTGCCGGATTCCGGCTGACGCACTCCGCTAGCTGCATGAACACAATGATGCGATATAAGTAATTTTTGTGCCTAAAAGGCTAAACTAAAAAAATGAGACAATGTTATTTACAGCAAGCAGCAGAAAGTTGAAAAATATTAGGTAAAATAAATTGGATAACATAAACGCTTATCTCATTAATTAATTAATTAATGGATTCGACGTGCCAAGTCGTCATAGACGGTAAGTGTAGCGAGGACCAGCATTTCAAATGCCACAGATGTTTCCTTCATTCACACGGCATTCAATACAACAGGGGTACTTGCTATCTTTCAAGTTTAAGTCCGCGGCTCATACTCCATTAACTACATAAGGACAGGGTACGGTACATATCAGCTGCCCTCCACGCCCAGCTGTCCTTCTTATTTGCCGCATCAGTAAGATCAACTTGAAGGATGCCGTTGATCAAGTACTGCCATCCAAGATTCGTGCGGCTAACGACGTGGTAAGTTGCCGCTGATGAACAACAGCCATTCCTTACTTGTGATGCTCAGGCGAGTGGTGTTCATGCGG